AGCATTGGTCTATTTTTTATTTAATTTAACTATGGTTGATAAAGTAGTTTTAATGAAATGCTGGTTTTAACTTTTAGATTTTGCAAAGATAACATCGCTAAAGATAAACATGCAGCAACTAATAATATCTAACTACTAATAAAATAATAATGTTGTATTTGAAGTCTTTTACATCTTTGCTTGTTGCCTTTGATTTTTCATTTGCTTATTATGTTTTGAGGTGCTATAAATGAAGTTTTAATCATTATTATTATATTATTTTAACAACTTCAGCAGACTGAGACGGGTGCTTTACGGAACAAGGTGAATTGCATCCATTTCTATTTCCTCTCCCGTAATGTCCCATCATCCATATTTTATCCATCACCCACCTCTTAATCTGTAATTACAATCTGTAGATTATACATTCAGCCTCATACACATGTAATTATGTTCAGTAGACTACAGTATCACCTGTCCATATCCCAGCTGCTCTGTGTGCAGCTGCTCAAAATACCGCTAATAACACGTAAAGCACCCACAGTGGACTGACGTGTGTGTGTGTGTGTGTGTGTGTGTGTGTGTGTTCTCTCTCCGTTTCTGTTTTTCTGTCTGGCACCGTCTCCACCTCTCTCTGCTGGTTCAAACAAGGCTAGCAAGGTGACCCTGAATCACAGGCTGCGTGAGAGTGCGCATGTGTGTGTGTGTGCCCACTGGTGTGTGTTCCTACGCCTGCGTGCACGCACTTATCCGCATGTGTGTGTGTACAGTCCCAGTAATTAACACCAGCCACTAATGAAGTCCAGCTGCTCGGCAAGAGGACTGAGCCGGAGCCAAAATCTGCCAGAAATCGCTCTCACCCTCTCCGTCTCCTTCTCCTTCCGTCTCTCGCTTTATTCATCCCGATCCACCCGAGCACACACCCCCACTCTCTCTTCCTTTCACCCTATTGATCTGCATTCACTTTTTTCCTTCTCCCTCGCCCGTTCCCTCCATGCCCTCTGAAGTTTCCATCTCTGCATCAGTCTGCTCTCCCACCGTTTCCCATCAGTATGAATCTCACTCAGTTGACCTATAATCGCCACCGTTTCTGTCAACATCTTGTCGTCTCCATGTCTCAATTTCTCACTTGAAGTGTCAATCTGGCAAAGCACAGAATCACTTTCACTCCTGTTTGTCTCTCTCTCTCTCTCTTTCTCTCTGTCCTTTCCGTCCTCCGCCATGTTCCCCGTTATCCACGTTATCTCACGTTCACATAACAAGGACAGAAATCAGATTTGACATCAAGGCACTAAGTGAGAAAACTCCTATCAACACACGGCCAAAAGATTTACCAAAAGAAAATGAATCATGAAATATTCAAGGTCATTAAACAGTTGGTTCTGATTGATTTTCTCATTTCTTGCTTATAATCTTTAGTTTCTTAGCATCACTAAACTCCACACAGTAAACCATCTTGTTTTTGGTATGCATGAAACCAAAGTAGGGACAATAACTTACATCCAGACTTCTTCGTTCTTGCTTCTGACATTTTCTTTAAAATAATGAATAAATGAATAAAATGCAGGTTAATCCGTCCTGCTGTGTGACATCATGAAGCTTTGAAAGAGTCTGACGCTAACTCTCCCTCCCACGTATGCAAACACATCAAACAAATCAAACACATATGCCCAACATCCTCTTTGTCACACGCACATCCTGAAACACACTGGCGCCCTCTCTCTTCTACACACAAAGATAAACTAGTGATCCTGTGCTCACCTGTGGCATTTTATCATGGCCACATACAGTAATAATCAGCCTGTAGACCATTGTAAGCTGATAGTATAAACTCTGCGTCTAACACACACGAGAAAACCATACACTCTCACTCGCTACCAGCTGTGACAGATGTGCCTGTCACAGGAGAAAATGAATTCAGAATAGTTAGTGAATTAAGCAGGGAGTTAATTGTTGCTTGGCCCCTGTTTATGAAGCGCATAAAGGCAAGGCGCCTTGTTTGTCTTGTGACAATTAGCCAGCAGAGATAGAGAGAGAGGAGGAATGTGTGTATGTTGTGTGTGTGTGTGTGTGTGTGTGTGTGTATGTTAGTGTGTGTGTGTGTGTGTGTAATCGTCCTGTTCTCTTTAGCAGCTGGTGCAGCCACACCTGGACGGGCTGAGCCAGAGAAGGAGAGGAGAGGGGAATGCAGAGGGGGATTGCAGATACAGTGCGGTATACGGCCCCTCGTTCTGTGGCCACCCACTCAATGAACAACAAACAATTAACACACACACACACACACACACACACAGATCTACAAAGAGAGTGCTAACAAAGACATCACTTTATACAGGCAGACAACTTCTATACATGAGTTAAGATAGCTGATGTTGCATGTACAAATATTCTCACAGGCAAACATAAGACATGACGCACACACTCTCTCTCTCTCTCTCTCTCTCTCTCTCTCTCTCTCTCTTTCTCACACACACACACACACACACGTACACAAACACGTTACTCTGCTGTGTTCTGATGCTTATCTGGGTTGGGTCTCTCCCTGTCTATTTGTCAGTGTGTCCTATTAGGTTTCCAAACAGCTTGTAATGACTGGTAATAAACAGCAGAAGAAGAAGATGGTAAATCAAGCGAGAAGATGACAAAATGAGCTCTCCAGGGGAGCACCGTGCTCCCAGCCTCAAACGCACACAGACACACGCCAAAACAGAAACACACTCACAATCCTGTCTATATATATTTTTTATATATATATATATATATATATATTCATGCACAGTCAATAAAGCAGACGAAAGGAGATACATTTGCTAAAGGAGGTTAAAGAAATATGTACAACAATGTGACAGAGAGGGACTGAAAATGTGAACAAGTAAATGGATGTTGTACTGATAAATCTATAGATAACTGGATTCTGAGCATGTTTAGTCGTCTGCTGCAAATGTAGAGCAATGTTTCATAATCGCTCATTAACATTTCGAGATTTACAAGCTCCTGCACAATACTTGAAAGAACAGCATCTATGTGCTGAATATAATAAATGTTACGTCTTTAACAGTAAATCTATTATCTCTATGTCTACATATGTCCCATCTTCATCTTTCATCCTCCCCTTCCTTCTCTTCTTCTTCATCTAGCCCTCTGAGGTCCTCTCCCTCTCTCTCTCGGTCCCTTGTCCCTTCATCATCACTCCCTCCCTCCCTCCCTCTGGTGTCACGGCTCGCTGGCTCCAGGTGGTGAGGGAGGGAGGGAGAAAGGGATGTAGGGAAGGATGGATGAGGGGGAGGGATGGAAAACTGGGGGAGGGCCTTCATCTGTTTTCATACCATCACAGCGCAGGGCAAACATCCTGCTCGGTACTGCGCACAAACTGTTCGGCAGCGGTGACAGATCTATACGTTACAACAAAATCTGAAGCTGACAGGAACGTGTGAGTGTTTGAGGGGAGGAGTGCGTAAACAGCTTTTGCTGCTTCAGACAGGAAGGAACACAAACTGATCAGTGAGTTGAGATTTAAGCGCACACCTCCGAGCGAACATGTCATCGCCTGCGGTGCTAAAAACTCTCTCAGACGGGCAACTCGTGCACGGGACAGGATTAACAGTGCTCCTGCAGAACTCAGTTTCAGGCTGTCAGGTTGTTTGACAAGCTGCTAATCACTGCAGTAAGTCGTGAAGAGTATTTTCAGTTCAGGTGCAGCAGGGAAGAGCAACGCTGCGAGCCGGTGGCAAAGACTGTGACACAAACAGACACACACATACATGAGTGACCCTGCAAATACATTATCCACCTCCCGTGACTCCAAAAGCTTCTTATTCGCCTCATTAAGTCTTCAGTGACACAAAGTAACCACATTAGACCTGCTCACTACATACATACAGATAAGTGTGTGTTTGTGTGTGTGTGTGTGTGTGCACGTGTAAAAGGAAAGTGGGGGAAGAAAGCGGACACCAGGAAGCAGAGGAAGACGTGTGCACAGACACACACCGGGTCAGCCGCAGCCCGTGGGACGGCTGCTTAGACAGCAGACCGACATTACTAGTCAAGCGCATCACAGATTTGACTGCAGGCTAATAGACAAGCTGAATACAGGTCGACTCCTCTGAAATGGCACACGACTGCAACCTCTAGGTACAAAATAAAAAGCTAGCTGGAGTTTATTTAATGCCTTATTCCACACAGAGCGTTTCAGAAATTGTTTTTGCTTTATTCCCACGTCAATCGCCGTAAAAAAGATTAAAAGATGAAAATGATTCTAGTGAGTTTTATTTTCTCCTCATTCAGGAGACGAAGAGCTCAGACTCAGCTTAGTCATCACAGGATATTCAAAGTGAAGCGACGGCCACTCCGGCTGGTTGTGTTGTGAAGAACTCAACTATTGATCATCAAAACTTAAAGAATGTGATGAGCAGGGCTGGCTCATGTTATTAGAGTGCATTGATGTAAATAGGTAATTAAAGCTCATGCTGAGGACACATCATTAGCCACCGCATTCCACAGGGAGCACTTAGATCCAGGTGAGTGGCCACTCGATACCTGCAAGGCATGTGTGTGTGTGTGTGTGTGTTTGTGTGCGTGCATGTGTGTGTTGTGTATGGGGTGGGGAGGGAAATGAAACATGCAGCTAGCAGCAGGGTTTGGGGTGAATGAGGTTTCGAGGTGAAGTCAGGGGTAATTGGGCAAAGATTGGGCAAAAAAAGTGTCAAAACAAACCTTTAATATTTTCTGTTTTTTAAAACACACACTGATTTCTACGAGTGAGAAAAAGCAACGTCAAGCCACTGCCGAGAACTACTTTTTTATTTCCACACCATGCAATGTGGCTTTGGTTGCCATCAATTAGTGATTCGTCAAAAATCTCGTGGTGAAGAATAGAAAGTCAAAACTAATACGTGCTAAATACTAATCTATACATAAAGCATAGAGGATGTTTATAAATGAAATGCTGATGGGCAGGCAGTGAGACAGCACAGTGCCGTCTTGCTCACAATGCGAGCTAAGGAGACAGAAAGGGGACAAACCTTGCCGACAGGTGGGCTCTTCTACGGGCCGTCCAATAGGCAGGTGGGAATGGGGGGAGAGCGGAGGAGAGAATGGGCAGGGTTAGTAATACGTAGTGTGAACGTGGAAGGTGAGGGGAGGAGGGAGAAAGCAGTAGTGCAGACAAATTAGTTTGCTGAAAGTAAAATAAAAAAATGTATTACCAACCCGCCAAGTGAAAGTGAGGAAAAGAAAAACCTCTTGCATGAATAACAAGACACCGCTGATGGGGGGGGGGGGGACCTTTAAAAACTAGAAATGAATTCTTACACTTCCTATTAGCTACAAGAAAAGTACAACGAACATATGACTGAAGCTTAAAGCTGACGTCTTAACGCTGCAACGGTGAAAACAAAGGGAGAGGAGAGGGGGGGAAAAAGAAAGGGAAGCAATTAAAGAGGTAGAAAGAAAGAGAGAGAGATGATGGAGAACGGTGTTTATTCGCAGATGTCAGGGTTAGAGACTGATCCCTGCTTAGGACCGATGTAAAGGGAAGCTACAGTAACATGTTGAGTGGCTCTTTGTGCGCACACAACCTGTTTGATGCAGGCTCTCATTCATGTGAGGAGGAAAAGTGTGTGTGTGTGTGTGTGTGTGTGTGTGTG